GTGGGATCGTTGTTTGGACTGGGCGTGATGGGGTTGATAGGCGCGTCTGACGGGTATGTGACGTTGTCGTAGTATCGTCCACCTCTACGACGGCGCGCCATGCAACTCATGATTGTCCCCTTGCCTTTGTCTTTCATCGTGATGTGAGCGGGAGTTTGGGAGGTGCTGGCGACGGAGGGAGGCAACACTGTGGAAGTCGCGGTAGGAGGCTTCGGCTGTGCCGAGGGTTGCTGACTGGAGGAGTTGCGCCTCTCGTCAGCGGCCTTTCGTTTGTAGCACTGATCGATGGAGTGGCCCGGCTTCTTGCAGTATTTGCAGAATGTTCCCTTCTTTCCGCGTTGCTCCCCTTGAGGTCCTCCGGCGTAGAAGACTACGCCGTTTGACATTCTTCTCATTGTACAGGTCAATCTCCTTTTGCTCGGAAAGGAGTGTGGCGCACAGGGCGGACTCCGATATCGTTGCTCGAGCGCGAAGCAGTGACTGGCATTGTCGCCAGTCGGGCCCGAGGCCTGAGATGACCATGGAGATAAACATGTCGTCGGGGACAGCTCCACCGCACTTCTTAACGTGGTCGCGCAGATTGCGGCACCGATTAACATACGGTCCCGCTTTCTCTCCTTGTTTCATTTTAACCGAAGTCAGTTGACTGAGCAGGCGACTCATTGTAACTGGATCTGTTGCCATGTACGAGTTGCGCAGGTGTTCCCAAGACGCTTGTGCGGGAGCCCACTCTGTTTTGTACGGACGAATGCCGAGATGTTCTTCGGGAGAGAGATTTTGAAGGAGAGCGGTGTACGTGAGAAGGGATTCGTGGTAGTATTGATGCTTCTCCTGGATGGTGCCTTCCGAAGGGAAGTGTAAGCTTCCGTCGTAGAACATCCAGATCTGGGCGGTTGTTGCGAGAAGCTCGAATTCAAAACTCCACGTGTAGAAATCCTTGCCGTCAAAGGGAATCGAGGTCTTCAGTTTTGAAGTCATAACAAACTTGGTTTGCATGGTAGCAATTGCTTCTGACTGTGCTCGTGATGGGTTGTCTTGTGCAGGAGCTGAACCTTGACGGTTATCGAAGGTGAAAGACCTCTCGGAGTTGACGCGGCGGTCTTCTCCAGGGAGAGGGAGTCCAGCAACTCCTCTTGCGTAGCTTGAGCCGTCGATGCTTGTGGCTTGATGGCTCTCAAGAGGGCTGATGCGAGCTACTCATTGCTCGACGACAGCGGCGCTGACGGAGGTCACCGCTGATGGCGCATTAGTTGTTGCTGGTGGTGGGTCCGGTGAGTCTGCAGTGGCTTTCCCTTCAGGAGCCATGATGATGCAGACCTTGTGATGTATTGAATAAGATTAGAAGGAGTCTGTTCTAGGTAGAACAGAGATTTGGCAGAGCTTATGATTCACTCTAGCTCTCATACCATGCTGATACAACCGAAGGATCAAGTGAACAGGATAAGTCTGCTAAATCTATGAGGAGACAATGGAGTCTTTGTAATGACCTTGTTGTACAATGGTTGAAAGAGAACAAGATGGTTAAAAGACAGAAATACAAGGAATTAAATAGCAAACTAGCTAGCCATGTACTCTAAGGGGTACATTCCCTTATTAACTGTATTGCATAACTACAGTAACCACGACTATTGCCATTCTCGACAGTTACCATGTTGCAGCGAACAACTGTCGTGCAGTTACTGGCTGGTCGAGAGTCACGACCGTTGACTTCCTTCGGCGGTTGACCTTCGGGTGACCCTCGACCTTCCGCATGCTCTATATGAGCTATTGCGGTACTGGTACAGTGCCCGGTTTTGCTAACAGTTGATGCGTTAGTGGGATACTATTAGAATCGTAGGTGTGGGGCCTAGGCTTAGTAGCCTAGGCCCACACTAGGAGGTAGGTGGGTGTGCTCTAGAACTAGGAGTTAGGGTTTACGAAGGAGAATTGGAACGAAGAATGAATGGTGACTAGCAAGCAGCAGAACACACAAATAGCAAACCCTAAGGGGTTGTACTCACTATTGAGCACCCCACTGCAGGCTAGACAAATAACATTCTGACACACCCCCATAGCCAAAGTGGGGTGTAATCAGCAGAGCACACAAAGCAGTACAAGCTCAGGGTGGATCACGACGTCACCACACATTCTGAGCACAAGTTCAAGAACCAATAGTTTATAAATTGTAAGCAGAGCTAGAGGCAGTCACAGAGGGCAAGTGAGGAGGAGGAGGGCTGGCGAGATGAGAGAAGAGTGGAGGCGACGACTGAAGCTGCAGACACACGGGCAACAGACGGCTCTGGTGCAACGCTGGTGGCTACCGGGAGGAGAAAGGCCCCGGAATACAGGAGTAACAGGCTCGGCGGCTGAACAGCAGCGGCAGGAGCAACGGACCCACGGGCGACAGGTGCAACCGGCTCTCTGAGCTACCGGGATTGAGCGCCCCGGAGTACAGGCGCTGTAGACGACACGACGGCGGTCTCCGCTCAACCTCCCCCAACAGTCCCACACCCCTCGACACACACCCCTTGGTCCACCCTTAGCTCCACTCCCATATCACCCCCCCTAGCGCCAGTCCCCTCGGCTCCCACACATCCACCCCCCTCAGCGGCAGCTGCAGCAGTGGGAGACGAAGGAGGAGGAAGGGACGACGCACACGAAGCACCCCCATACCCGTCACCCCCACACTCTCGAACAAAGGCGGGCAAACTCCAGGGGCGGCTGCTGCAGTGGCGGGCTGCTCCAGGGGCGGTTGCTGCAGTGACTGGCTGCTCCAGGGGCTGCTGCTGCAGGCTCGGCAGCGGCAACTGCTGCAGGTAGAGCGGCGGCTGCTGCTGTAGGCTCTGGCGGCGGCTGCTGCTGCAGGCTCTGGCGGCGGCTGCTGCTGCAGGCTCGGTGGCGGCAGCTGCTGCTGCAGGCCTGGCGGCGGCTGCTGCTGCAGGGCGGCGGCGGCTGCTGCTGCAGAGCGGCGGCGGCTGCTGCTGCTGGTAGAGCGGCGGCTGCTGCTGCAGGCTCTGACGGCGCCCCGCGGGTCCCGCAGGGGGCGTCGCGACGAGCAGGGGCGACGCCCCGCGGGTCCCGCACGGGCGTCGCGACGAGCAGGGGCGACGCCCCGCGGGTCCCGCACGGACGTCGCGACGAGCAGGGCGACGCTGCGCGGGTCCCGTACGGGCGTCGCGACGAGAAGGGGCAGCACCCAGGGGGCGCCGCGACGAGTAAGGGCGACGCCCCGCGGGTCCCGCACGGGCGTCGCGACGAGCAGCAGGGAGGGCAGCGCGCAGGCCCCCCCAAGGACGCTTCGACGGACGGGATAACCGCCGCGCGCCCCGAGCGCGCGGCGGGCAGAAGAAGCCGCCACGTGTTCGGAGCGCGTGGCGGGAAGAAAATGCAATGCCGCGCACCACGGGGCGCGCGGCGGATAGTACGACAGCGGAAGGAGTTGGTGGGCCCGATGAACTAGGCGGCAGGATCTCGCCGGCTCTAGATACCATGTTAGAATCGTAGGTGTGGGGCCTAGGCTTAGTAGCCTAGGCCCACACTAGGAGGTAGGTGGGTGTGCTCTAGAACTAGGAGTTAGGGTTTACGAAGGAGAATTGGAACGAAGAATGAATGGTGACTAGCAAGCAGCAGAACACACAAATAGCAAACCCTAAGGGGTTGTACTCACTATTGAGCACCCCACTGCAGGCTAGACAAATAACATTCTGACAGATACCTTCGGGAATGCTTATAATAACCTTTCGGTTATTCCAACAATTTACATTTCTCAAACTTGTTCCCTTCCCTGTCAATGATCTTAAGGCTTTTTTTGCCTAGCAATCTTGATATGAAATTTGAATTCAAAATTGTTTTCCTGCTTGATAGGTATGAGACTGAAGCTGCGGATTGGGTGGCGAGTTTCAAGCTTCATGGCCCTTGTGTAATAAAGTTATGTACTTAAGCCAATGAAACAAGCACATGCATAATTCATATAAATGTGAGTTGTTTTGACATGTTCCGTAGCCTGTACAGCGAAACCAATTCCGCCGAGCCTTGTAGCATGGGTGGCCTGGGGTTTGCTTGTCCTCGTTTCAAGCGTATGAGTACGTTAAAAGTTCTGTTACAAGCGTTAATCTGGTAACTGTGCCGAAAAAAAGAACGAACATGTGCAAAGTTGGACCTGCCTTTAGGACGCGTCACAATTGCAACACCGGGGAGGTTCGGGGACTGAACACCGAAAATGTGTGCAGCGCGTATGAAAATCGGTTTCCAATCTGCATGAGCAGTGTTAGGGTGCTTCTCCGAGCCAAGTGAGACACGACTGGGTTTGCAAGTGGGGGACCTCCACCAAGTGTACAGCCAGTTTCGAGAGCAGGTGCCGTGCTTCGCTGGCGCGTCGTTCACTTTCGCCTGGGTTGTGACGACGCGGTAACACAGCGCAGATGTCGCCCAACGACAGTTTGTGATGTCGCTCTGTTACCACTTCGAGAGTGGCCGACATTATGCGACGACGATCGATCGTGGCTGGCACCGGTGGCGCGATTTCGTTTCCCGCGCTGCCAATCGCACGATCGATATGGCATGTCGAGCGGGGCAATCTCGTCAAGCTGCAAGTTCACGTTATTCGCGTCATGGTTGTGCGAAATCAGGATACAAATTATTCGCCAACTGGCGAAGTCACTGTAGATGGCGAACACCGATCCCACACAGGATCGGTGTTGCAATTGTGACGCGTCCTTAGTTTTTACCTCCATGCCCTTTCCCGCAGGTTCTCGTGGTCGAATTCTTTCTCCTTCGCCATACTCTCTCCAGTCCGCCGTCCGTCTGAAATCGCCGTTGCTAGGGTGGTTTGGCGAACCACTCCCAACGCTTCGCGATGTCGAATTTCTCGGCGGCGCTGCGACTAACGGACCTGAACGACTTTATCGCACCGACGCAGGCATGCGTCGTCACCGCGCAGGGGCAGCGCGTGGGTGGGGGAGAGGTGAGACTGGAGGGAAGAAGGAGTGGGCTTGGTGATGGATCGATGAATTCATCGGCGCATGGGTGCATCATGGATAAGTTACCCCTCTCCTGTCCCGTTCGTCACCTTCTCCCGTCCTTCTCACGTCTTTCTCCCTCCCCCTCTTTCCCCCCCGGTCCCCCTATGCGCGGGCGCGCTGCAGGGTGTGGGCGCAGCGGGGGAGGTGCAGCTGCGGGGAACGGGCGGAGGGGGATTCGAGCAGGCGAGGCAAGGGCGCGAGGGCGAGGCGGTGAAGGTCACTCTGCACGACTGCCTCGCGTGCAGGTGTGTGGCGCCGCTGCTGCTTGTAGCTTCACGCTGCTTACACAGCCTTTGCGCTCGTCAGCTTGCCACCCTTGCGCTGCTCGCTCCATGCACCCCCCCAACTCTCACTCACACGCCGCTCCCTTCTTCCCCCCTCCCTTTCCCTCCCCGCGCGCCTCCCCTGCGCGGCATGGCAGCGGGTGCGTGACGACGGCGGAGACGGTGATGCTGGAGCAGCAGAGCGCGCACCACATGCTGCACCACCTGCCGCACCCACGCGCCCACGCGGACAGCGCAGGGCAAACAGGAGATGGAGGGAAAGGGCGCAAGGTGGTGGTGGTGTCGCTGTCACCGCAGTCGCGGGCGGCACTGGCAGCCCACTACAAGATCACTCCCCTGCAGGTGCGACTCGTGTAGGGGGGCGCGCATGCAGGTGTGGAGAAGACAGCGAGAGGGCGAGGAGAAAGTGCGAGGTCCGGTGGCTGCCGTAGGGGGCTGCGCACGCAGGTGTATCCACCTTGTGCCACTATTGCCCGCTCTCAGCACTTGCATGCTCGCCTCTTATCCTCCTCCTCGCACATCCATAAATATCTTTGCTGCTGTCGTTCCTGCACGGGCTGGGCGTGGCATCAGGTGGCAGCAGTGTTTGACACGAGTGCACAGCATGCCCCGCCCCACCTGCTCCCTCCCCCCCGGCAGGCCTTCCGCAAGCTGACATCGTTTCTGCATTCACTGGGCGTGGCGGCGGTGTTTGACACGAGTGCATCGAGGGACGTGGCGCTCATCGAGGCCTGCCACGAGTTTGTCTGCGTCTTCCGCCACCACGCTGCTGCCCATGCCACCACCGCCCTTGCCTCTGCCCCTGCGGGCAGCATGAACGGGTCTGTCAGTGACCAGGCCGCAGGAGCAACACCATCAGCATCATCAGACATGGTACCAGCTGCAGGTTCAGCAGCAACAAAAGAAGCAGCAGAAGCAGGAGGACGAGAGAGCGGTGCGGAGGCAGCACAAGAGTCTGGCCAGTCCGCCCCTCCCAATGCCACACCGCCGCCCATCCCCACTGACTCGCTGCCGCACCTGCCTGTGCTTGCCTCTGCTTGCCCCGGTATGCCTCGTGGCACATCCAGGCCAATAGCTAGTGTGTGCGTGCCCTATTGTAGAGACAGACACAAGGAAAAGGGGTGGGAATTGGGAATGTGTGTGCGGGGAAGATCAAGTGCACCGGAATGTGTGCACTTATGAATTTGCCCATTCCTTGCCCATGTGCATGAACCTGTGCATGTCCCTTTCCACGGCTTTGCCATCTCTTCCCATACGCAACGCATGTGCGTGCGTGCGGCCATGGGAGGCCAGGGTGGGTGTGCTACGCGGAGAAGGCCCATGGGGAGTACATCCTGCCGCACATGAGCCGAGTGAAGAGCGCCCAGCAGACCATGGGCGCGCTGCTCAAACGCTTCTACGCCGCAAGACTCAACACCACGTGAGTCGTGCGACCATGCCTCTCATGTCCCTCGCTGCAGCCGTGGGTGAGAGGGGCGACGAGCGGGGCAGTGAAACAGGAGGTATGCACACGGCATAGGCACACGGCACAGGCACACGGCACAGGCACACGGCATGGCATGGCACGCACAGGTGTACGCCATGTTGGATGCACCACAGTGACCCATGTTGGATGCACCACAGTGACCCAGAGTGCACTCACTCGCCCTTCTTCTTCTCTTCCGCTCGTCAAGCCATTCCCTTCTGCTCTCCGTCTTGCCTCACTCTTGCTGCTTGTTTCCCATTAACCCTTCCCCTCCCCTTTCTCCTTTCTCCCGCCTTTCCTCTTCTTCAGCCTTCGCGTCTTACCCTCCTCCCTTGGCTCTCTCCCCTCCCACTCTGCCATCTCCCGAGCTACGGCAAGAAGATGGAAGTGGCGATTAAACCCTGGACTTCAAACCCTTGAGTCCACTAGACAATTGGCTTCCTCCCCCCTCTACCCCACCAGCCCGGAGCAGCTGTACCACGTGGCAGTGATGCCGTGCTACGACAAGAAGCTTGAGGCCGCCAGGGACGACTTCCTGCTGCCCGGGGGGGCGCAGGCGAGTGCACAGGACAGGGGAGAGAATACTCGAGATGCAGAGGCTGGTGAGGAGCGGTTGACAGAGGTGGACTGTGTGCTGACATCAGGGGAGATCTTCGCTCTGCTGCAGGTGCGCTGTGAGGAGGGTGTTGGGATTTGTGCTTGCGTGTCTGACCTTTGTCTCGCTTGCATTGCTCCCATGCTGCCTGCTTTGCTCCCATGCTGCCTGCTTTGCTCCCATGCTGCCTGCTTTGCTCCCATGCTGCCTGCTTTGCTCCCATGCTGCCTGATTTGCTCCCATGCTGCCTGCTTAGCCCCCAGCGCCCACATGTTTCCCCTCATTCATGTGTGCCTTCACCCCCCTTGGTGCCCTCACCCCTGGGTGCATGACTGCCCACTTTGCGCGCATGTCTCTGCCGTGGTCCATGGGAGCAGGAGCAAGGAGTGGACTTCATGACTCTCGAAGAGCATCCTCTCGACTCCATGTATGCCACCATGCCATGCCATCATGCCATGCCGCCATGCCATGCCACCATGCAATGCCATCATGCCATGCCATGCCATGCCATGCCACCATGCCATGCCGCCATGCCATGCCACCTTGCCATGCCACCATGCCATGCTACCGTGCCATGCCACCATGCCATGCCATGCCATGCCATGCCACCATGCCATGCCATGCCACCATGCCCTGCAACCATGCCATGCAACCATGCCATGCCTCCATGCCATGCCACCATGCCATGCCATGCCATGCCATGCCATGCCATGCCACACCATGCCATGCCACACCATGCCATGCCATGCCATGCCATGCCACCATGCCATGCCATGCCATGCCATGCCACCATGCCATGCCACCTTGCCATGCCACCATGCCATGCTACCGTGCCATGCCACCATGCCATGCCGCCATGCCGTGCCACCATGCCATGCCACCATGCCGTGCTACCATGCCATGCCACCATGCCATGCCACCATGCCCTGCAACCATGCCATGCAACCATGCCATGCCACCATGCCATGCCACCATGCCATGTCACCTTGCCATGCAACCATGCCATGCCACACCATGCCATGCCATGCCATGCCATGCCACCATGCCATGCCATGCCATGCCATGCCACCATGCCATGCCATGCCACCATGCCATGCCACCATGCCACCACCGCTTGGTCCACCTGTTCTCATGCGTCTCCCTCTTCACCACCCCCAAGGCTCACCAACGTGGACGCCAGCGGGCATCTCTACGGCGTGGCGGGCGGCTCAGGCGGGTACGCAGAGGCCGTGCTGCGCTACGCAGCACTCGAGCTGTTGGGCGTGCACATGCCCCCGGGCCCCCTGGAGTGGCAGGCGGTGCGCAACGCAGACATGCGCGAGTGCAGCGTGGCGGTGGAGGGGCAGCCCGTGCTGCGCGTGGCGTGTGCGTACGGCTTCCGCAACATTCAGAACGTGCTGCGCCGCGCCAAGCAGGGCCGCTGCCCGTACCACTACGTGGAAGTCATGGCCTGCCCGGGAGGTGAGCGGGGAGGGGGGGTTGCTCAAGAAGGGGGGTAGCGGTGAGGGTGAGGGAGAGGGCAGAAGGTGACTTGCGAGTTCCATCAGAGGTCTCCCCGTATGGCTTGTGGCAGCCATGGTTTGCGCTGGAGGTAAGAGGGAGGGGTGGAGAACAGGGGGGAAGGGGGGGTGATTGGAAGTTGGGAGGGTGGGGTGAAGGCTAGAGGTGACACTTCAGGCGACTTAGAAATTGCCCGTACCACTATGTGGAGGTCATGACTTGCGCTGACGGTGAGGAGGTGAGTGGTGGAGAACAGGGGGGATGGAGGTTAAGGTGTTGAAGTGGGCTGTGATGAGAAGTCACACCATACCATTGTGTACAGGTCATGTCTTGCCCTGGTCTGGAGGTGAGGCACGGGGAGGGGGCTTCTCAGTGAGAATGGAGGTGCGGGAGAAACGGGAGCTGGGGGAGGGGCACAGGGGAGCTGGAGGTGCGGGAGCATAGGAATGCAGGTTGAGGGGAGAGTGTGCGAGGGGTTGAAGGGAAGGTAGTGGTCTTCATTTTCATTTTGTTCCCTTCACCACTTGATGCGGTTTGTTCCAACACACAGCTGTGTTTCTCATGGTGCAATGCTGTGTGCGTGGCATGGGGTGCACGGGGCGTGTGGGGTGCACGGGGCGTGTGGGGTGCACGGGGCGTGTGGGGTGCACGGGGCGTGTGGGGTGCACGGGGTGGCACTGCAGGGTGTCTGAATGGAGGGGGCCAGCGTCCACCGGAGCAGCGCAAGGCACAGCCAACGAGGAGCTACCTGCAGGACCTGGAGGCGCACTACATGGCGCAGGTGAGGACGCACTACACGGCGCAGGTGAGGGCGCACTGCATGGCGCTGGTGAGGACGCACTGCATGGTGCAGGTGAGGACGCACTGCTTGGCGCAGGTGAGGGCGCACTGCATGGCTCAGGTCACACACTGCTCCTCAATCTCTCTTGACCAAGCACATGTGACATGTGACATGCATATTCCCCGTCCCCTGGCCTTTGCTTCGAGTTCCACGTGCACATGTGCGTCTCATGGTCATTCTCATGACCCCTTTCCTCTCTATCTTCTCACCTCACTCACATTTCCTTGCACCCCCCTGCTGCACCCCACTGCACCCCCCCCCTGTCCGGCGTGTTCCCCCCTGCACCAACTTCTACTGTTTCAATTGCAGGTGGAAACACGCAGCCCATTCGCCAATCCGCTAGCCCAGCAGATCTACTCGCATTTCCTGGGCTCGCCGCTCTCGCCCTCCGCACAAGCTGTGCTGCACACCTCCTTCCATGCTCGCCCCAAAACGCTTGCTCTCTCTGCACCTACACTTGCTGCCAGCTGGTAGCGCATGCTTACAAATTGCGACCGTATTGGCAAATATCATTGAGGCAAGTTGTGCAAAATGTGTCATTGCTGTAGCGCATGCAAGCTCACATAGTCATAAAAAAGGATGTGAGGTAGCTCTGAGCGCTCCACACAACATGAACCCCAGCTTCGTCATTCCCTCTCACATGATCCTCAAAATGTTTGTTCCTGGATGTGTTACATTACATATTGCCGTTGCACCATCGCAGCACCAAAGCCACCTCCTCCACGCAATGCGCACCCACACGCACTCAACTCTTAGAAAGAGAACACAACGGAATGGATTGACTAGAAGGTGGGTGATACAAATAGCAACCCTAGAAAAGTTGTACCCTCTACAGTGCGTCTCATTACAGCCTATCATGATAATGTACGGTATAACATTTGACACACCCCCGGCTAAGTGAGGGGCTCTTAGTAACTGAGAACAGCGGAATGGCTTGCATTGATTGAGTTGGGGTACAAGTACCTAACCCTAATTGTTTGTACCCCATATAGTATGACCAGGGACGTCGCTAGCAGAATTTTTTTGTCTTGTCCTATATTTGAGGGCTAGTTTTTGATTTAATCTGATAATTCAGACATATGCACTTAGTGAAATCTGTTCATTCAGAAATGCTTTTCAGCTGTATCCGATCCACCAGAAACGGTTTCCATGTTCATCTGATACATCAGGAACACTTTCGGGTTTCGTCTGTTACCGAATCTTTCTACCCTTAGGCGTGATTCACGCGTGAGCAAGGCGTGGTGTGGGTGTTTAGCCGTGATTACCGGAATGTATGCATCATACATTCCGCCCCCTGTGCTCCCACGTGTTTCTTTCGCCACCACATCCACAAAATGCCGCTGCAACAGGCAAACAGTCAGGTTCTATGACGCACTCACGTGATGTCTGCGTCACGAATTGCCCACGCCGGATAGTTACTGTCGTACGTGGCCTGTCACAAGTGTGGGATTGGCTAGTTTAGAACAACAGTCATCAATCCAGCACCACAAACCCACAATTTCGGCGCCTGACGAAGGTTCAGGAAGCGCGGTTTGGGTTCACCACAGTCAAGTGGTGCCACCCACAGTTCTCGGGAGCAATGCGCGGTTCGTCAACAGGGCTCTGTGGTCGGGCGTTGGGGTTTCGGGGGGGTCTTTCGTCTCCAACCTTCTCTTACAAACGCCCTACCCAGCCATTTTCACCGCGATTACAGACGGTTCTCGCCCTAGTCACGTAAGTCCGCCCTCTCGCCATGGCGGACGACACGGAAGCTGCTGAATCACCCACCCCACGGCCCAAACCACCAGTCACGGGCCTAGATTTCCTACGCCGCTCCCAGCCAGCCGCCGTGTTAGGCGCGTCTTCGCCGACACGCGTTCCAACGTCTTCTTCCCCGAATCGGCAGGACGTCACTCCTGTTTCATGGCCTGCTGTTAATGCTAGACGGGCTTTCAGTAGCACACCGCCCGTCTCCCCTAGTACCTCTACACGGATTACACCTAATCCTAGATCGCAAGCGGCGCCTAGCACTTCACGTGGTACTGCCGTGCCCCGATTCCCCAAGGCAGGCCGATATACCCAGAGCACGCTGCGGATTGCTAAGACAGGGGTTCCTCACGTCCGCATCGTGTCACGCCCCACGCCAGCGCCTAGAGTTGAGGCTGCTGCAGCATCAGCAGCACCAGCAGCTCATCCCACAGGTGATCCTGGGCCTTCCAGGAGCACCATCCATGTCCCTGATCCAGACTCGCTTATGGAGAAGCTCCAAGAGCTGTCGAAGGAATATTGGCGCGACAAATTCAAGTGGCTGATTATCACGCAGAGGAAGGACGGGACGCTGTGCATGAAGTGCAGCATATGCATAGCTCACGGTCCAGCCCACTGGAAGTTCGGTAAGAACGGCGAAGGTGGCGTTGATATCCAGCGGCAAACGATGCGGAAGCACGCGCTCAGCCGGAAGCATCAGGACGTCGTCAATGCCCAGCTTCGCGCCGAAGGCAGTAAGGTTGACCAAAGGGGCATTGAGGAGTTCAAAAACGACGACAACGAGACGTCGCGGCTGAAACAATTGATGCTGGTCGTGCTATTTATCTGCAAATCCGATTCCCCCATCTCCCTGTTCGTTGATCTTGTTCGCCTGTTGGCCGAGCTTCAGACGCCGCACATCCCGGACAAGTCCATAGGGATATACCAGTCAGCGTGAGTGAAAAGTCCTTCTTGTTCTGTGTATTTATCGTCACTACGACTAATACCACCTTCACTGTGTTGTGCAGGTATGGCTTCCGTGAAATAACCGAAGCGCTCGTCACCAACCTGAAGCAGCAGCAGATGAGCCACATCCAGGCGTCTCCTTTCCTAGGAATTCAACTCGACGAGAGTACCGACCGGCGCAGAGGCAAGCATATGATCGTCTACCTGAGCTTCATTCGCGACGCCGAGGTCGTCACCGAGCTGTTTGGGCACCTGACAGTCGAGAAGTGCGACGCGTCGTCTCTGCTGACAGTACTTCTCGCCCATTTGGCCGTCACGGGCGTCGACATCATGAAATTGTCGGGCATCAGTACGGATGGCGCGAGCGTGATGCGGGGTTCACAGGCTGGAGTGGCGACCCAACTGAAACTGCGAGTCCCACACCTGGTGACGTGCCACTGCATCGCTCACAGGTGCGATGACAACATTTCTGTAACGGTGGTTTTTGTTTTTGTTGTCACACGTTTTGCATTGTTCAAACCGCTTGTTATTGCACACTTGCAGGGAGGCTCTCGCCGCGAAGGACGCGGCGGAGGCGGTGACCGACCTCAACATGGTCGACACGGTCGTGCGGAGCATCGCAGAGAACTTGGGGAGGAGCATCGTCTTGCACTCCCGGTTCATGGAGCTACAACACATCCTGCACGAGACGTCTCTGGAGGTGCAGGGGTTTAAAGACGTTCGATGGCTGGCGTGTGGCGATGCGATTCGGAGGCTCGTGGCAGTCCTACCGGCGGCGATAGTGGTGTTGTGGGAGCAAGACAAGAAGGCCTACAAGACAGTCTCGAGTTTCAAGTTCCACTTCTTCCTGTTTTTCCTGGCAGATTTGCTGAAAATGCTCAACGAGCTGAACCTCAAGTTTCAACGGCGCACGGTGAGCAGTTGAGAGGTCCGTGCTGATGTTTATGCACACGAGCGTGTCTGACTATTGCGTCTTGCCTTGTGCAGGTGGACATCACCCGGGTGGCATCAATGGTCCACAACACGTGCGACAAGCTGAAGCAGCGATACATCGAGCACGGCGTCAACTACGCTGAGGATAGTGAGTTGCTCACAGAGTTCATGGAGAAGCACGGAGCGTGGGACAAGCGGGAGGTGACGGTCGAAGGCATGGATGGGGAGGGAAGTCCCGTCAAGCACACTTTCAAGGGTCAGAAGTCCAAAGGGGACCTTGAATCTTGCATCACTGTAACCCGCCAGTTTGCGCAGGAAGTTGTGAAGCACCTCCTAAAGCGGATGGAGAGCCTAGACACCCTCACCGGAGCGAAGCTTTTCTTGCCTGACGCGTACCCCGAGGGAAGCGCGAAGAGAGACCGCCTCTGCGCATCCTGGTTCCAGTCTCTCCGCACGCTGTTCAGTGCGGAGAAGTGCGTACTTCCAGGTAATCTGTGCGTCTCTGTGGTGCATCTATGTTAGTCGCTCGGTGATATGTTACCGCCAATGACTTATCTCCCCGTCGCCCCCCCCCCTCTTGTACTTGCAATTGTGCGTGAGCAGGAGTGAGCTGGAAAAAGGCGGGACGAGAACTGGTGCCGTTCACCAAGATGATGGCCGCGCAGTACAAGGACCAGACCTTCCACGCCGGCCTCAAGCACATGTTGCGCAGTGAAGACTGGGAGACGAGCTACCCCAACATGGTCCGCATCTGGATCGCCCTCGCCGTGCTGCCGCTGAGCACCGTCGAGTGCGAGCGCGGCTTCTCGAGGCAAAACATCATCAAATCGTGGCTCCGCGGGAATCTTTGCAACACACGCCTGGTGGACCTGATGTCGGTGTCGCTCCTGCAGTACGAGCCGAACTGGGACGACGTGGTGGCTGCTTGGAGGGGGGCAAAGAAGAGGCGCCCTGCTAAGGAAGTGACGACCAAGAACACTCCAGAGAGAGCCCCAAAGCGGAAGGCCGAGAGAGGAACGTCAGCTACCGCCTCCAATGAAGACGAAGATGATGAGGATGTGGTCAGGCGGAGGACCTCTAAGAAGGGCAAGGCATGTGCAGCTCTAGCACTGTCGGACGACAGTGATGATGACAATGGGCTTGATGTCCGCGCCACTGTGGCGCTAGAGTCTGACACTGAGTAGAGTAGAGTAGAGTAGATGTAAATTGTATTGTAACACCTCGCCAGTAGTTACATAACTTCCTTGTGATGTGATAGTTCTTTTAGTATTGATGAGACTTCAGCTAATGCCAGTCATGTTGCAATCCTAATAATAATAATAAAAAACAGACAAGCATGTGCTTTAAGATCTGACACATCAGACAGAGATTTTCGAAAACCCTGATCCAGCAGACAGGGAAGCACTCGGCCTACTGATGAAGCAGACGGGCCCTTCGGGCCCGTCTGCTCCATCAGGCTGCCTCAAATCCTAGCGACGTCCCTGAGTATGACCCACTAAGGGCTATAACATTTGACACACCCCCATAGCCTAAGTGGGGAATGCCAAGTAACAGAACACAACCTAAGGTCACAAGACCAGTCACAAGCAAGCGAGAAAACAAAGCTCAGGGTGGATCTCAACGTCACCACACATTCTGAGCACAAACAAGGGGCCACAAGGCCAGTTCAAGAGTGTACAAGCTAATATATATATGGTACAAACAAGCAAGAGGCAAGAACTCACTACTGCAGTCTACTAGACCCAGTCTCAACAAGGCCTAACTGCAGACAAAACCGGCGGTGGTCACAAGGCTGAAGAGCCTTGGTGAAGATGTCTGCAGTGTTGGCCTCGGAGGCCACGAAGTCCAGACGTGCCTGTCCACGTCTCTGCAACTCTCGAAGGAGGAAGTACCTGACGTCGATATGCTTCACCCTGCTCTCCAGTCGAGGCTCACGACACAGGAGAATCATCGCCTTGTTGTCAGCAAACAAGGTCGGTGCAGAGCTCGGCCTCTCACCAAGGTCAGTGAGCAAGAAGGTCAACCAGCGTAGCTCCTGTGCAGCGAGGGCTCCAGCGTAGATCTCGGCCTCTGCGGTAGAAGTCGCAACAGAGGAGGACCGAGTAGACCTCCACGAAACAGCTCCAGAGCCCAGGCTGAAACAGTAACCCTGTGTAGACCTCTGTGACTCAACGTCGTCGGCGTAGGAGGAGTCGCAGTGACCGGTGAGTACAACTGGCTGTGTCCCTCCAAGTACAAGCCCCATGTCTGATGTCGCGCCGAGGTACTTCGCCACCCTCTTAGCTGCCGCCCAGTGAACAGGACGGTGTCTCCCTGTCGCAACAAAGCGAGAAAGGATGCTAAGAGGGAAGGCGAGGTCCGGGCGAGTGCACGTCATCAGGTACATGAGGCAGCCCACCAGCTCTGCGTAGGGACCACTGGGCTCGAACGGCTCGTCAGGAAAAGGCCCAGTGAGTCTGTGGTCTACAGCAAGAGGGGTGGGAGGAGGAGAGGAGTGCTGAAGCCCGAACCGCTGAAGGACCTGCTGCACCATGTGTGACTGAGTCAGAGTGATGGTGCGAGCGGCTCTGTCCCTGGAGATCTGCAGGCCAAGGTAGCGGCGCAGTTCCCCAAGGTCAGTGCAGGTGTGTCTCTTCTGCAGTTCGGACTTCACCTCCGCCAGTGCAACTGTGTCGGCTGTGGCAAAAACCAGGTCGTCAACGTAGACAAGAACAAGGTGTGCGCCCACGACGAACAAACAGCGACGGGTCGGCGGAAGACGGCTCAAACCCAAGGTCGGACAGAGTAGAGCGGAGAGTGTCGTGCCACTCACGTGGTGCCTGGCGGAGACCGTAGACCGGTCGTCTGAGGCTCCACTGGGTCCCAGGCGGGAAAGTGCCAGTGAAGCCCGGAGGACGACGCAGCCAGATCTCCTCGTGTAGGCTGCCCTGCAAGAAGGCAGTGGAGAAGTCGAGAGAGTGTAGCTCGTAGTCTCTCTGCGCTGCTACGTGCAGTAACACCCGAAGAGTGGTCATCTTCGGGGTGGGCGCAAAGGTCTGAAAGAAGTCAACTCCCTCACGCTGACTGAAACCTCTAGCCACGTAGCGTGCCTTGAAGACTGGAGGAGATCCCGGCGGCCGCTTCACCTTGAAGATCCACATGCCGTCAACAATGTTCGCCCCTGGGGGGGGAACCTCGTCAACGTAAGTGCCTGTGGACCTGTAGGAGGCCATCTCTGCGTCCATGGCAGCTCTCCACTGAGAGGCCCAAGGCCCTGACACTGCCTCAGCGTAAGTGCGAGGAGTAGGTATGTCAGGAGCGTCGGGGTCTCCCTCAGGAGCGAGCAGCATGGCACAGAGATGAGGTGAAGCGGCTGCCAGGAACTCTAGCTCAAACTGTCTATCCTCTAGGACGGCACAGCCAAGGGCAAACTCACCCCCGGCGGACAGAGGACGGACAGGAGGAGCCGCCACAACGCGAGTGGCGTAGTCAAGGCGACGCGTAGCAGTAAAGTCTGTGACAGCGGCAGTGAGGACCGCGACGGAGGAAGGAGAGGCACGAGGGTCTGTAACAAGAGAGGCGAGAACACGAGAGAGAGTGGGGCGGTACGTGCGGTAGTAGTCAGTGACCGGAGTGGACAGGGAGGCAGTGAGGGACGACTCAGGAGGACGAGGAAGAACAGACGGAGGAGAACGAGGAGGACTAGGACGAAACAACACGGTACGGAGGTCAGTGACAGGTGACGAGGGACGAGCACGAGGAGGACGAGAGGCCCAAGTGTGGGAGAGAGGAGTGGGAGACGGAGCGGGAGACGGAGGAGACTGAGAACGAGGGAACACAGCCGGAGCTGAGTCCGGAGGAGGAAACGTCGGACCGAACACAGGAGGAGAGGAGGAGGGGAGACCAAGGGCCCGAAGGCCAGTAACAGAGGCCGGAGGCTGCTCCGGCTGCTGCGGCGGCTGCTGCTGCTGCTGCTGCTGCTGCTGCTCCCGCTGCAACTCCAGCCTCTCACGCTCCACCCGCTGCTGAACCTCCAACCTCTCACGCTCCAAACGCTGCTGCTCCTCACGCTCAAGACGAAGACGGGTCTGGTGTCGAGTCAGGTAGGGGTGAGGAGGAGGAGTGGTGTCAGGAGACGAAGAAGAAGAACCGGCTCCGCCCTCGACAGCACCCGGCTGAGAACCCCCAGAGCGTGTACCCCCTGCGGCAGCACGACTAGCACCTGTAGGAGGTGGACCCGCACCCCCAGTCGGGGTGCCTCCAGTGGCACCAGCACCAGCCTCAGACTCTCCAGCTCCAGAAACACCACCAGCTCCAGCACCACCACCAGCTCCAGCACCCTCGGAACGAGCAACCGCGGCAGGTGCACGCTCAGCGCCAACGCCAACACCCCCAGAACGGGCGGCTCCTGTAGGTGCACGAACAGCTCCAACGCCAGCACCCCCAGAGCGAGCACCGCCAGAGCCCTCACCCCGAGCACCAACACCCTCAGAGTCCGCAGTGGCCGGTAAAGGAAGCGCTGACGGCTGCTGCGGAGGCTGTGAGGACGACTGTGGGGAAGGAGGAGAGACCTGGGGGGGTACCGAGGGGGGGGGAGTAGCGTGGGACACACCAGACGGAGCAGGACCAGGGGGGGGTACCGGAGGAGCAGGGGCGGGAGGAGGAGGAGGTGGAGCCAGGAAGAGGGGGGGGGGGGGGGGGGGAACCGGGAGACCTCGACAGGGGTACCTGACGTAGTAGGGGACGGACTCGTCGAAACGGACGTCACGAGAGTCAAAGAACCGGTGGGAGGGTGGGTGGTAAAAGGTGAAGTCAGAGGAGCCCTCTGGGAAACCAAGGAAGACACAGGGGACGGCGCGAGGCGAGATCTTGTCCGCAGAGGTGTCGCGGACAAGAGCCAAGCAGCCCCAGACACTAAACCTCGACGCAACACCAGGGGACCCTGTCCAAAGACTGGTCGGTGAAGCCCCTGGCCGAGAGACGCGAGGCCAGAGGTTCAGCTGGTGAGCGGCGTACCGAGCCGCGTAGGGCCACAGAAAATGGGGCGCGCGGGCGTGGATCATGGAGGTGCGGGCGATCTCCATGACCAGGCCTAAGCGGCGCTCAGCAACCCCATTCTGCTGTGGAGAGTCTGGGAGAGTCCAGGACTGTGTGTTGCCCTGCTCAGCACAGAAACTGGCGAGAATGCCGGAGCGAAACTCACCCCCACGGTCGGAGTGGAGACAACTGACACGACGACCACGAGTGCCCTCGGTGGCGAGGAGCCACCGGATCAGCGTAGAAGTCACGTCGGACTTCTTCGCCAAGGGCCAAGGCGGGAGGCGGGGCCCCAGACGTCTAAGTGGAGTGTCTGGAAGGGCTCGGTGGCCGGACGAAGGGAGGAGGAGTGGGGGGTGGCGCGAAGCCGACCCTGGACACAAGGACCACACGGAGGAGCTGGGGACGGCGGGAGTGGTGGGAGGACTCGGGGGAGGCCTAAGACAAGACGCTGACTGGACATGGCGCGCAGACGAGGAAGGGACGGGTGCCCCATCCGGTGGTGCCACAGAACAGTGGGGTGGGCAAGCGACCGACACGAGCACGACGCAGCAACTACACCTGACACAGCAACCTGACTGGACCCGGCTACCTGGTGGGACGGGGGAACCTGACGGGGGTCGGTGCGGAGGGTGTACAGACCAGAGCCCGGCTCCTGGCGGAAAGTGGCCAAGGGGGCGTACGTGTCACCGTCGACGCAGACTGCGGTGTCACCAGAAGGCTCAACCCAGACCCCGACGTGCTGTCTCGCCAGGGTGCCCACACCAACCAGGTTCCTAGAGAACGTAGGAACGTGGAGGCCGGTCAGGGAACCAGAAGGAGCAGCTGGGCACGGGAGTGTAGTGGCGTGAGTCGCAATGACCGGTCCCGAGGAGGGATCGGCCAGTGCTACAGGGACAGGTGCCGGTAGCGGAGAGAGAGTCGTGCAGTCGCGGAAGAAGCAGTGCGACGCTCCTGAGTCCAGTGTGAAGGAGAGAGACGCGTCCGCCGAGGGAGTACCTGTACTAGTAGCTAAACAAGATCCTACACTGGCACCTACTCTAGCAACAGGCAAGTACACGGATCCAGGAGCACTATAGTCAACATCAGCATACATGGCATAAGACCTAGCATCATCCATAGTCATATCAAAAACAGCAATGCCACGAGCAAGAAGCGTCCCCCAGCGTGGCGGCGGGGGAGCAGAGGGGCCGTGGTGGAAACGGTAGAGGTCGTCGAGACGACTGAAGCAGCGTGCAGCAGAGTGGTCGGGGCGGCCACAGTACGAGTCCCGTCGAGGACCCGTAAGGATCCAGTACTCACAGGGACCAACGTCGCGGCCGGCCGAGCGAGGTCCCCGACTGGAGGGGGGGGCACTGCGCCCAGTGCTCGGGGGACCCACAGACCTCCACTGCTGCTGAGGGCCCCACTGCTGCGGAGGCCCCCACTGCTGAGGCTGCTGCTGCGGTGGGCGCTGCTGCTGGCCCTGTCGCTGCTGCTGCGGTCCCTGCTGCTGCTGCTGTCCAAGCTGTGGCAGCTGCTGAGAAGTCGGCTGCTGCTGCTGCTGGAACCCCCCACCACCAGTGATAACTCCACCGTCGAGAGGAGGACCGTCAGGGCCCGAGCCACCCCCACTACCACTCCCACCACCCGCCCCACCGCCGCCACCACTACCCACACCACCCCCAGTACCCCCGCCCTTCCCTCCCTTCTTGCTAGCCTTGCCACGTTTCTGTCCGCCAGAGACAGAAACAGCCGCCGTCTCCTCAGAGGCAGAAGACGCGGGGATGGCAAGGGAGGCAGTGAAGGTGGGAAGCTGTGGTACCGCACACCCCTCAAAAAGACGAGGAGGAGGTGCTGAGGAGGCAGAGGCAACTGCGAGGAGGTTACTCTCGATCTTCGAGAGAGCGGTCTCAAGAAGATCGATGGTAAGCTCAGTGGGATGCTTCAGAAGAAGCGCGTCGCGGGCTGTGGCTAGGCGGTCAGGGAGGCGAGTGACTAGCCAGTGAATGGTGAGCCACATAGGGGGCGGGGCAAGGGCAAGCTGGTCCTCAGTGCAAGCAGCACGAAAGCGAGTGTCAAGGGAGCGCAGGTGGGCAGTGAGGTCAGAGACAGTCTCAAAGGAGGCGAGGTCAGGGTAGATAAAGGGGACGAGGAGGCGACTGAGTGAGGCAGAGGAGGGAGTGGAGTAGCGAGCAACAATAGCCTTATACAGATCTGCAGCAGACTCGACCTGAGTGAAGTGGACTGCCTCGGTCGGTGGGAGAAGGTCGGTCAGGGCGAGGCAGGCAGCGGCGTCACGAGACTCCCACACGTCGCGAGCAAGAAACTGGCGCTGGTACTCGGCCTCCTGCTCAGGAGTAGGCGACGGGGTGGTGGGCAGCGGCCTAGGCTGAGGAGGGGCGGTCTGAGTACCGGATGCGTGTGCGAACAGGTGCACGCCATCCTGCCGCTGGCTCTTAAGGTGGCGCTGCGCCTGCGTAAGCCACGTACTAAAATCAATCGGTCTCCCCTCAGGGTCGAATCGAAGTACTCGAGTGGTCGCCATAAGGGGCGAAAAACGAGAGAGCGCGGCTACCAGCCGCAGGAGGGTGAGACAGTCAGTGGCACGTGGGCAGGCACGCAGGCAAGGAGGCGAGGAGGCAGTGTAAGAGGCGCACAGGGGGGCAGCACGGCGCGCTGGCCGGTGGGCGGCGCGGCGCGCTGGCCGGCGGGCGACGCGGCGCGCAGGCGGTGCGCTGGTGTGGTGCGCTGGCGTGGCGCGCTGGCGTGGCGCGCTGGCGTGCGCGCTGGCGTGCGCGCTGGCGTGCGCGCTGGCGTGCGCGCTGGCGTGCGCGCTGGCGTGGCGCGCTGGCGTGCGCGCTGGCGTGGCGCGCTGGCGTGCGCGCTGGCGTGGCGCGCTGGCGTGCGCGCTGGCGTGCGCGCTGGCGTGCGCGCTGGCATGGGCGCTGGCGTGGCGCGCTGGCGTGCGCGCTGGCGTGCGCGCTGGCGTGGCGCGCTGGCGTGCGCGCTGGCGTGGCGCGCTGGCGTGCGCGCTGGCGTGCGCGCTGGCGTGCGCGCTGGCGTGGCGCGCTGGCGTGCGCGCTGGCGTGGCGCGCTGGCGTGCGCGCTGGCGTGCGCGCTGGCGTGGCGCGCTGGCGTGCGCGCTGGCGTGGCGCGCTGGCGTGCGCGCTGGCGTGGCGCGCTGGCGTGCGCGCTGGCGTGCGCGCTGGCGTGGCGCGCTGGCGGGCCTGCTGGCTAAGGCGCTAGCGGGCCAGCTGGCTAAGGCCTGGCGGGCCTGTCAAACATTATACATGTTGCATTTGTGTAGGCTGTAGTGGGTTAGCCTATAGGGGGGTCACAACATTAGGGTTTCATATTTGTACTCACAATCTTTGCTAGTTCATCATTCCAGTCCGTTATCACTGACATGGTTTCAGAGCAGGTCCTTCGCTAGGACCGTTCTTAGGGCCCACCACTATATACCTACCTACCTACCTACCTGCGCCTTAGAGCGCCTCGGTTCTTACGGCCCCTTAAGGCCTCGCGCCCTCGAGCGCCTTTCCCTACCGCGCGCGCGCGATCCGCTAGCTACTCGCGCGCGGGTCCTTTTTTTTTTTTCGCGCGCGCGGCTTTGTTTCTTACGCGCGCGGCCCGCTAGTTACGCGCGCGGCCCGTCGCCTGCTCGCGCACGCCCCGCAGGCCCGCAGCCCGCCGTCGCAGCGGCCGCCCGCCCGCAGCCGCCCGTCGCCTGCTCGCGCACGCCCCGCAGCCGCCCGTCGCCTGCTCGCACACGCCCCGCAGCCGCCCGTCGCCTGCTCGCGCACGCCCCGCAGGCCCGCAGCCCGCCGTCGCAGCGGCCGCCCGCCCGCAGCCGCCCGTCGCCTGCTCGCGCACGCCCCGCAGCCGCCCGTCGCCTGCTCGCACACGCCCCGCAGCCGCCCGTCGCCTGCTCGCGCACGCCCCGCTGCCCGCAACCGCTTGTACGCCGCTGCTTCCGCTGCTGCTTGCACGCCGCTGCCCGTGCGCCGCCGCTGCCCGTGCACTGCCGTTCCCCATGCGCCGCTGCCACCCGTGCGCTTCTGCAGCCGCCGCCCGCGAGGCACTCGATCTCACTGCTGTTTATTTTCTACCTACTACTACTGTTACTACTGCTACTACTGCTACTGCTACTGTCACTATGGCTAGTCCTCCCGTTCTAGCTTTCGATGCCGAGGGCCGTCCAGTGAAGTTCGAAACCTGGCTAGATGACCTGCACCTGTTCCTACAGCTCACTGCCAAGGAAGATATCTCACTGTACGACCACGCCCTAGGCCATGCCACTGCCCCTGACTCGTCTGCTGACAGCACTCTGCGTTCCCAGTGGCAGACCCGTGATGCGCACGCTCGCTTTGCTATTCGCAACTCCCTGCCGCTAGACGAGCGCGAGCACTTCGGCCAGTGCAAGACTGCTAAGGACCTCTACACAGCTGTAGTTGCCCGCTACTCCTCACCCGCTTCTGCCACGCTAGGCCGCCTCACTCTCCCCTACCTGTTCCCCGACCTAGCCTCCTTTCACACTGTCGCAGACCTCATCACCCACCTTAAGACTAGTGAGGCCCGCTTTCGCGCTGCTATGCCTGCCGAGTTTCTCACTAGCAACCCCCCCCCGCTCTGGATCACTCTCTACCACATCGTCACCCGCCTCCCTGACTCTCTGCGCGCTGTCAGGGACCACTTCCTCTCTCGCTCCCCCACTGAGCTCACTGTTGCCCTCCTCGAGAAGGAACTGCTTGCAGCTGAGGCGAGCATCGTCGCTGTAGGCACCTCTCGTGGCGACCCCCGCACCCCGTTCTTTGAGGGGTGTTCCCCTTCCCCCCTCCTCCCCTCTGTCGCCTCTGCTGCTGCTGTCGACCTTCTTGGTGCTGAGAAGGTCGGGACCGCGTCTGCTTCGAGCGGGCGCCGCAGGAACAAGGGGGGCAGGGGTGGGGGTGGCGGCGGAGGAGGTGGGGGTGGAGGCGGTGGGAGTGGAGGCGCGGCTGGGGAGACTAGTGGCGGCAGTGGGGGAGGAGACAGCAGCGGTGGGAGTGGTGGCGGAGGCGGCAGCGGAGGCGGAGGTGGTCGTGGCGGCGGCAGGGGTGGAGGTGGCCGGGGCGGCGGCGGTGGGGGTGGTGGTCGTGGAGGCACTGGCGGAGGGCAGAGTCAGCAGCCCGCCCCGACGCTTCAGGCCGCCCGTGAGTGGTATGCGCAGCGTGGCTTTACCTGCACGTACGTCATTCGCACAGGTGACCGCAGCGGCCAGCAGTGTGGGAGGCCGCACCCCACGCAGCGCTGCTTCGCGCGCCTTACCGACGCGTGGCGCACTCAGTTTCCTGCTGCCACTGAGCTGCCGCGCTGGGCTGATCTGGAAAAGAGGGGTGTTGATATTTGGGCTTTAGACTTTGATGCTATTCTCACTGCCATGTATGCGATGTCTATTAGTGGAGAGGGTGCTCAGTACTTGCGTGTTCCGCCCGACCCGGGCATTCAGGCCAGTCCGGCTGCCGCTCTAGGTGCTAGTGCGTCTGCTCCCACAGGTCCTGGTGAGGCTGCAGCCCTAGGTGCTAGTGCGTCCGTGCCCCCTGGTACTGAGTCGACTGCAGCACTGCACACCTTCACACTGGACTCAGGTGCTTCTCGCTCCTTCTTTCGTGACCGCACTGTCCTTGAGCCACTCGCTCGGCCAGTTGCCGCTCACCACGGTCTTCCCCTTGCGCGCCAAGGGTGACGTCCCTGATGTATTGATCCCCTGGATCCGCAGATCTCGTCTCCAGCTCAGTGAGCGTTTCCGCTCCGACTTCCCTGTCCTGCGTCTGCACTCTGACAGAGGTGGGGAGTTTACCTCTGGCCTCTTGGAGGCCTTCTGTCAGCAGGAGGGCATTGAGCAGTCGTTCACGCTTCCGGCCTCTCCACAGCAGAATGGGGTTGCTGAGCGCCGCATTGGTCTGGTCATGGAGGTCGCTCGTACCTCCTTGAGCCATGCGGCTGCCCCCAATTTTCTGTGGCCGTTTGCAGTCCGATACGCTGCGCATCAGCTCAACCTCTGGCCCCGTGTCTCCTTGCCCGAGACTTCTCCGACACTGCGTTGGACGGGAGAGGCTGGCGATGCGTCGCGTTTTCGGGTCTGGGGATCCCGAGCTTTTGTCCGCGACACGTCCGCGGACAAGCTCTCCCGTCGCGCTGTCCCCTGCGTCTTCCTTGGCTTTGTCCCGGACGCCCCTGGCTGGCAGTTCTACCACCCCACCTCGCGTCGTGTCCTGGCCTCTCAGGACGTCACTTTTGACGAGTCCGTCCCCTACTACCGCCTCTTCCCCTACCGCACTGCCCCGCTCCCCCCCCCGCCTCTCTTCCTCGCTCCAGGTGCTGAGGTACCAGACCCCCTCCCCCCTCAGGGTGCCGCTCCCTCAAGTGTGTCCCAGGTAGACCCGGGTGAGCCTGTCGAGGTAGCTGTTGACTCTCGTCCTGCTTGGGGTGCTGAGCCTGGGGGTGCTGCGTCTGGGGGTGCTGAGCCTGGGGGTGCTGCGTCTGGGGGTGCTGAGCCTGGGAGTGCTGAGTCTGGGGGTGCGGAGCCTGGGGGTGCTGAGCCAGGAGGTGCGGAGCCTGGAGGTGCGGAGCCTGGAGGTGCTGAGCCTGGGGGTGCTGAGTCTGGGGGTGCTGAGTCTGGGGGTGCTGAGCCTGAGCGTGCTACACCTGGAGGAGCCCTCTCCTCCCAGCAGCTGCAGGAGAGGTACCTCGAGTACTGTCGCCTCCGGAGAGGTGCTGCTGGAGCTCGTCCCGGTACTTCCCCTCCTACCCAGGAGCTCCCCCCCATTCAGCAGATCCGCGAGTGGTACACACGGCGCTGCAGTCTTCGGAGTGGTGCTCCTGGTGCTGCGGACCCTGGGGGTGGCGCTGCTGCTGGTGCTGAGGACCCGGACGTTGGAGCTACTGCTGGTGCTGCGGACCCGCCTGGTGGAGCTACTGCTGGTGCTGAGGACTCGGACGTTGGAGCTGCTGCTGGAGCTGAGGACCCGGGCGGTGGCGCTGCTGCTGGAGCTGAGGACCCGAGCGGTGGCGCTGCTGCTGCTGCTGAGGACCCGGGCGTTGGAGCTACTACTGGTGCTGAGGACCCGGCCGGTGGAGCTGCTGCTGGTGCTGTGGACCCGGACGCTGGAGCTCCTACGGGTACTAAGGACCCGGCCGCTGGAGTCTCCTCTGCTTCTGGAGACGCTACGCGGCCGCGACCGTACTTCGTACCGCTCCTTCAGCAGGTTCTTGGGCAGGCTCCTCCTCCTTGTCCTCCTCCCTCCGTAGAGTGTCCTCCGCCTGTCCAGCCGCAGTCACAGTTACCGCCTACCTCGCCTCTCCCTGCTCCCTCTCCTTACACTGGTCCCACAGGAGGTCTTACAGAGCATCGTGAGCCTGAGTCTCGTCCTGCGTCGCCTGTTCGTCCTGCTCGCACTGGTAGTCGTGTCCGTCGTGAGCGTCCTCCTCCTGTCCCAGGCACTCACTACATGACTCTGCGTCCCTCTACTGCTCCTCAGCGTATCCCTCTACCGTCTCCTCCTGCGTCCTCTTTGCCTGACGTTCCGGACCCTGAGTCTGACCGGTATCGTGCTGAGCACCCTACTGTCACGCGTCTCCTTGCTACTGTTGTCACTGACCCTACCTTTGAGTCCTCGACTGCGTCTGCTCTGGTCGCTGAGTTGGTTGACTTTGCTGCTGCCTGTCGTCTAGACTACGCTGCTAGCCTTGTTGCTGAGTCTGAGTCTGAGTCTGTCTGTCCTCCGTCCGTCGGGGGTGAGTGTGCTCTTGGCACGGACGTCCTTGAGGACAGACAGGAGGAGTTCCAGTGTCTTGCTGCTGCTTTGCCCCGTCTCGTGTCCTTGCTAGTTGCCCCTGAGGGAGACCCGGATGCACCAGACATCCCGACCCCGCGCACTTACGCAGAGGCGATCTCGGGTCCCTACTCCTCTCAGTGGCAGATAGCCATGGACGCCGAGATGGCTTCCTGGAAGTCCACACGCACCTACGTCGACGAGGTTCCCCCTCCTGGGGCGAACATCGTCAGTGGCATGTGGATTTTCGGGGTGAAGCGGCCGCCGGGTTCTCCGCCTGTCTTCAAGGCGCGTTACGTGGCTCGAGGCTTCAGTCAGCGAGAGGGAGTTGACTTCTTCCAGACCTTCTCCCCCACCCCGAAGATGACTACTCTTCGGGTGCTGCTGCACATAGCCGCTCACCGCGACTACGAGCTTCACTCACTTG